GGGGGGGGGGGGGAGAGGAGAGGAATTAAGAAAGGGGAAGACCTCTCCTTTCCTCCCCGGTGCTGTGCTGTATTCTATTAGGCAATACAGAAGAGGCATTGCCAAAAAGCATCTGCATTGGCAGGATTACTGTGAAAATCCCAAATGCAAAAATTGACTGGTATCACAGACATCTTAAAAAGAAAAGAAAAAAAAATGTGTGAGATGTTGCTGAGGTTAGCAACACAGTGCTAAGTTGTTCAGGGGCAGAGTAAACTCTTGAGAGAATTACCCTGAAGTGAAAGAAAATAAAACCATAGGTTACTGTTAAGTGCGGAAATTGCTTGCATGTTAAAAAAAAAAAAGGAAAAAAGCTAGTAGGGGGGCGAGGGGGGGAAGAGGAGAACTAGACATAAGGAGAGAGGTTGAGAAACAGAGGGAGTGTGAGGGAGAGAGAGGGGGAGAGGGAAATGTGCTGTACACTTAGCTGAGCAGCAGGAAGAAAAGCTTCAACCAGAGGATTTCTCAGCTTTAGATGTCTGCCAGTTGTTTGCAGGCACACCAGTAGTATCTGTGTGGTGCCTTACAGGATGTGGACTAAAGGCGAGTCGGAGGGACTCCAGACTTTAGGGATTGTGGTGGTGGTGTGCTCCTCTCTGAAACTTTTGCACTACCTCGGGCTAATTGACTTGTCAGATGGTAAGAGAACTTCCAAGTTTTCCAGCTCCTGTTTACTTTTGTTTAAATCTGTTTCAGTAAAGCCAGTGCGAGTAGCAGATAGGCTGTGGGAAGGAAGGCATTGTCTGTCAGTGCACTGATTCTCAATACTGCCTATATCTTTTTTAAGAATCATACAGGCTGCAAAGAGGGAATTATGCTTTATGCTTTATTGAAGACTTTTGTTTGCTTTTGCTGTGATTTTTTTTTTTTTTTTTTTGCCTGGTATTTTATCAAATTTTCTTAATTAATTTTTCTTATTGTTAATTGTTTGTCTCTCTTGAAAATAAATTAGTACCAACCTGGAAAAAGGAAAATCTCTCTTCAGATAATGGAAGCACAGCTGATAATTAGGTGCATGATTTTATATGGCTACCTAAAATAATTTTATTGTGACACTTGCAGATTAAAGACAGGGTAGAATGAACGTGAATAAACCAAAACTTCATTGTATTTGCTATTGAAGGCACTTCAGCAAAGTAACCAGAAGCAAAATAACCTAGGGAGAAATATTTCTGTTTTCATGTATAGAACTGGAAGATTTGGTCTATCTTCATCTTACCAACGTAATGAACTCTTTTTTTTTGTTAAATGTTTTCCTGGCTGAGTAAAGCATATGTGTTTTAACAATTAAGTGAGCTTTGGGGATCATATTATTTATTCATAAAGGCATGTAGGTATCACTAAATTTTGAAAGAAAATATCTTCATGATGAAGGAAGTAAGATTTTTTTTTTTTTTTTTTAAGACAAAGGGATCCCAAAGTCATTGAGTGAATTCTTGCTTTGATCACTGGCTATGCCAAGTTTATCTAGTAAAGGAAAAGCAATGATAGAATATTAGCATAAACACTTTATTCAGATATTATCTTTAAAGTATGGGTTAGCTATGTAAGGCTTGCAAAAGATTGAATAGAAGTGGAGGTAATTTAACATTAGCCAGTAAAATGTATTTAATATACAAAAGCAAGAAAAGCAGATGGAATTTTAACTTTCTACTGTAAAATCAGTGCTGTCACATAATCCTAGAAATCCTCCTGCAGAGTTAGGAACAAGTATGAAAACTGGCCTAAATAAGAGAGTTATTTTATTTAGACTAAGAGAAGATGTAAATTGGCATGTATTTATCACTAGCTGAATGTCGATATCCCTTATTACAAAAGTAATATCATGGGAGCTTTTAGTTTACTCCTAGAATGTCACAGGAGTTCAATTATATAATTACAAATAAATTAAGATATCTGACAATGACAACTATTTCAAATAATGGCAGCAGAAGTGCTCAGTTTAAAAATAAGCTCTCAAGTTAAATTTTGAGGCAATTTTATTGCTACCTCTTTAACTGCAAGGACATTTTTATACGTTCTTTCCAGATCTAATTACTGTAATTCCAACGTCTGCTCTTTTCAAAACAATTACTTTCCCCAGAAGAGTCTCCCCCAGTGTTTCCCCAGCAAAGGCAAGTGTGTGACAGGTGAGGAAGTTGTCTGTTCAAAGATGAAATGAGCAAAAGTGAGCAAATAATCCCAACTTGTATTCACTGAAAAGCTCTGGCTGCATTTTGTTTGTGGTGATCAGTCAATAATCACTCAATTCACACAAATGTGGAAGGGTATAACATTCTCTTTTAAGTCTTTGTAAGGGAACAGGGTCAGAATTACTGATACTCGTAGTTCTGATTGCTGATGGATTTCCTGACAGCTTACGGGAGCATGATACTATAAACCTTTTTAGCTTTGGATAATTTTTCTTGGAATTACTTTTTTTCTGACTGCAAAGCAGTTCCCTTAGAGACCAAGATATATTTATTTGGTAGTTATTAAATTATATGACCTTCTGTTTTTTCCCTTCTGACTCAATACCTGTGCTAAGAATTACTTACATGTGTTAATAGTAACACTAATGTCATGCAGGTGGGCATTAATGGAGTGCAATCAAATTTCAATCACTTGGATATCTTCAAATGTAGCATTAAACTCTTTTCCTTGATGTGCTAGGTGGCAGTGAGGGGAAAGGTACAGTGAGTGCTTATATTGCAACGTAAATATTTCCAACATCTTTATATTCACTAGAAATGATCACTGCTTTTTATTTATAAACATATAGAAAGTCGATGTGCTTTCTCATGGCTGTGTGTAATAACACTAAAATGAGACACTGAAATTCGCTATATTCTTACCCCTTTATAGAATGAGAATTATTCTCTCTCCTGTAGATGGAACAGGCTTATTTAAATGGTGTTCCTTTGTCCTCTTTAAAGGGGAAAAAAGGAAAAAAAAAAAAAACCAAAACACAACTCAAAACCTGAGTGCTGATTCTTCACTGGTCTAACATAAGATACAATTACTGAGAAGGAAGTAGTGCAGACAGTAATTTGGAAAATGTGAAATTTTAGAATTTGCTGCAGCTTGATGCGTGTTCCACCTTCTCTTTTCGTTGTGTTCCAGAGGTGAGGTCCCGTTCTTGGTGTTTGTTCATTGAGCTGTTTGATTGGAAACAACTGAAACCAGAGATGCTACTGGCATTTCAGATCTCTGAGCACAACCTGAAAGTGTTAGGCAGTTTAACAGGAAAGATATTTTTTTTCCCTGATTTCTTTTGTTCCACTTGAAATGCTGGTGGAGCGAGTCTGTGTGAAATGATCCCCTGAAACTGGGCCAATCAGAACAGCCCCAATAAGATCAGATCTTTGCCAGTTTGCACTGTTTGTGTTTTCTGAATTCTTCATTCCCATTTGCTTAAAACTGTGTGTATAATGTCTAGCTACAGATAAGAGGCACAAATTGATTAACTGGAAAGTTCTGCAAAGCATGGGGTGATATATATTTTTTGTCTGATGCAAATAGATAAAGAAATGTTGGTGACTTGTTGCTTTATGCTTCTGTCTCACTGTTACATCTCTTGGGGTTTGGTGTTTGGCTGTGTCCTTGCTGCTGTTCTGTGCTTTGACAGAGCTGCTGCAGCCTCGTTAGGTTAGTTCCCAGCTCCTAAGAGCTACACAACCACATCCAAAAGGGTGGGCTAAAAGCTGAACATCAGTTTCCTTTACTGCAACAATTATGTGTTACATATTATTGGGGAAAACATCTTGTGAAACCTTGTACTAACTTACGGTTGGAGACCAAAAACCTTCTCTGTAAAGTGAGTTAAGTTCTGGCTGTACATTTGTTTTATGGGTTGGGTTTAACTCAGCTTCTTTGCAGAACATCCATCCATCCTCCAGGTACCCTTGAAGCACTCATAAATCGTATTTCTTCAGGTTAGAGGGATTCAGAGCAAATATGAATAGGGCTTTTGGACTAGTTCAGCATTGATTCGGTAATACCTACGGCAGAGTACAACCCCCTGAAAATAAGTAGAGTAAAATATACCATCAAGTATATTGTCAAAGATTTAGCTTTTTAATGCAGGAAAGCCTGCTCTCTTCAGTTGTAGTCACTTTATGACATAAGATTAGAAGCAGGTGCTCAAATATTTTTCTTGATTGACTAAATGAATTTACAAATCAGCTATCTCAGATGCTTCAGAGGTTGTTACTGTGTGTGTCTACATAATTCAACAGTATGTCAAAAAAATACTGCCAATTGGTAGATTTCAGTTGCCACTGAAAGAAATAGTTTTAATAGGATTGCCAGTGGGGATGGGGTCTTACAGCCAGTTCCCTGTAACTTCACTAGAATAAGTGCTTCCAAGTCTTTCTCAGTGCCCCTGTTTCATGTGGCCTGTCCAGCATATGATGTTATATGGAGAGAGGAGATAGACGTTTACTGTTTTATCAAGTGACCCTTAAGGTGACCCAGACCTTGGACGTAGAGTCCTGTCCTTTTCAGCAGCCGAGTTTAAAACAAAACCAGCTGAATCCTGAAGCAGGAACTCTGCCTGAGTTCAGATCCTAAGGTAGGAGGTAAGATTTATAATCGGTAACTGGTCACCTCCCATTATTATTGTCTGTGGTACTGTTGCAAGTGCTGGGGCTGGGAATGGCCTAAGGCAAACCAGACCCGATATTGATTTGATTCAGGGTATGTTTTTAAGTAATACTAGGTAAAAGTTAAAGCCTCTGAAGAGGAGATCAGCTCTGCACATGGGGCAGACCAGGATTCCTGCTCTGGCTACCTGAGCCCAGCTCTACAGATCTCTCTTTATTGCCCAGCTGCTACTGATACTAGCTGACCTGCAGTGAAATGTATATTCTGGTTTGTTCTCATCATTTAATAAGGTATTGATTAATCCAAATGTGGAACAGGAATATCCTTATATAAAAGCTGTTGTGAGAGCATGCTTTTTTCTCTAACTGCAGGTGGGAACTTCAAACCCACTTCAGAGAGAGGGAAAGAGGGGAGAGGTTTGAACAGGCTAAAAACTGTAATCTCTTTCTTCTCCAGAACATTCCCCGTGACGGTGCTCAGCTCTGAGGTAACAGGGACTGAAAGTACTGGTTTCAGGCTATTAATGCCCCATGGTGCAGAGGCTGTATTATAGCTGAATCAGTATATAACTCTACATCTTTCCCAGTGATTTCTTTTCACTGATACTGACCCTTGTACAGATTTTTCTCCATCCAGAGCTGTTGTGAACCTGCACAGGGCAGTCTGTGTGGGGTGCTGTGCTGGGAGGCACCTCGGAAGTGCCTCGATAGTGGCAGTGCTGGTGGGGCTTGGAACAGTGCACGAGCACAAGAGTCCAGTTCCTTTCCCCTCTCTGCCAATGCCTCCATTTGCTGTTCTCATGCCATTATTTTTACTTCCTAGGGAAGGTAAGAATATCTATTATTCATACTCTTCAAAGGGCTGAAATGAGATGTGTTATAAAAACGCAATCTGTAATTACAGTACCTCTTCTCTGAAGCACAGGGTGGCAGGCACCTGAGCCTGTGCACTGCATCTTCCAGTCCTCGGTTACTTACACTGTGGGATCCTGTTTCTGTTGGTTTCCTTGATGCAGTTTCTCTTTTGTTCTTTCACACCAACATTAATTGCCATTT